ATATTTTTAGTATGCTTGTAACACCTAGGCATTGAAATCAAAGCATTTTAATAAAAACCATTCTAGAATTTTAAATTTTCATTATTTAAAATTTATGAGTTTAAGAAAAATTAACTGAAGCAGCCTGTCTTAGTTGTGAAAGATCAACAGAGAATGCAATATTACAACTTTGTAATACATTCTAATGTAATTCTTTGGCTTCTTTATTTGATTCCTGGGTGGAATAACCATTAAAATAAATTCTCAGAGATATCAAAGAAATACCACAGAAGCTCTAGAGATAATTTCACTAAACAAAGAATAATAATTTAATCAGAGAAAGAAATATATGTTGAATGATCAAAGGAGATGAAGCAGAACCAGATAAGATACCATTTGTTTTACTACCTAAAAATAATTTTACTGTTATCAAGTAAGAAGGGAGTAAGCCCTTATTATAAAACATCTTGCTGTTTCAAGGATTCAAATGTATTTTCAGTTAAATTACACCCCCTGTGAACATAATGATGTACATAGAATATAGAAAGACCATATATGTGGATGGCAAGGGAGGAATGGTAGAAAAAGGTAGGTATCTGTCATGGTTAATTTTACATGTCAAGTTGCCCAGGTTAAGGGATGCTCAGATAGCTGATAAAACATTGTTTCTGGGTGTGTCTGTGAGGGTATTTCTGGAAGATATTAGAATTTGAGTCAGTAGACAAAGAAGACCTGCCTTCACCAAATGTGGCAGGCAACATCCAATCCGTTGAGGGCGTGAATGAAACAAAAAGATGGAGACAGAACAAATTCTCTCTCCCTTCTTGAGCTGGGACATCAGGACTCCTGGTTCTCCGGCCTTGGGACCCTGGAACTTACACAAGCTGCTCCCTGGGTCTCAGGCCTTTGGGCTCCGCAAGAGAAATTACACTATTTGCTCCCCCTAGTTCTACAGTTTGGGGAGGGCAGATTGTGGGATTTCTCAGACTTTATAACCATGTGAGCCAACTCTTTTAATAAATCACCTCATGTAGCATATCTCTCTATGTCCTACTGCTTCTTTTACTCTGAAGAACCCTAATACAGCATTCTTCCTTTTACTTCATCTTTTCTGTGTAATTTAAAAATATAATAATTATGGATTTATATGCAGGACCTCTAGCTACATCAAGTTCTTTCAGTTTTTGAAAAGCTGATTATGGGTCTTATCTATTTTACTTCTAATGGCCTATCATCCATCTAAATAATTATAAAGTTCATAAACTATGGGTAATTAGGCCCATTCACCATTTATATAGCCTAAATTTTATTATTCCAAAAAGTAATGGTTCTGCAGACTTGGCTATAACCTTTTTAAAAACGTGTAAGAGACAACAGAGAGCTAGCTAGCTCTCTCTCTCTCTCTCTCAAGCCACGAGGACACAGAGATAAGCCAGGAAGAGAGCTGTCACCATAAACCAACCAACCATGCTGGCACCTTGATCTTGGACTTCTCGTTTCCTGAATTATGAGAAAATAAATTTCTGTTCGTTAAGCCACCCACCTATGGTATTTTGTTATGGGAGCCTGAACTGACTAAGATGACATGTCTTAGGAAAAGCACATTATAACAGTAGGGTCTATTTTTAATCATTATTTAAAACAATAACATTTAAAAATACCATGCCCTGGGCCGGCCGAGTGGCACAATGGTTAAGAACTGGCTT